CTGAGCAGGCATGCCGCCAGAGTTCTCCAAGACAGCTCCCCGCGGCAGACCGAGACTCTACTCACGTAGGCCGGCCGGGTGTCGGCGAGGCGCGCGCGTCCCTGCTCGTGCCCGCTTCTAGCAGCAGGGAGCTGCACGGCTCCTCACCTAGCAGCGAGAGCCTTCGCTGTCCCGGGTCTCTGGCCTCCCCATTTCCTAAATGATGCTTTTGGAAGAGCAGAACCGTTTCATGTGATGAAGTGCGAGGTGCTGCTCTCCCTCTGCACTTCATGCTCTTAGTCAGCCAAGTTCACAGAGTCTCCGCGTGCCTTCCTCGGGCTTGCACTGAGCTCTCCGACTCACCTCCGGCGGCTGTTCTGCCTGCGGTGTGAGGCTTGCACACGGACACCCGCCGAACCGCCTCGACACCGCTGTGAACCTTTGTGCGCCGTGTGCTGTGCGTGTGTGCGTGTGGGAGAGACTTTGTGTGAGGAACCGGCTCCCAGGATTTTCTGCAGTCTGCAGGGTCAGGTCTGAAGGTGGCAGGACAGCAGAGGTTGTTCCTGTGTGAGTCTGTCCCTGGGGTCTGTGCTGCTGTCGCTTCCCTGTGGGATGTGGGATGTGCATCCGGTGGTGTGAGTTCTTCAGCGTTGCTTCCCGTGTTCCAGAGTTGCCCTGGCTGTCTTAGGGACCCGACTTCTAGAACCATCACCTGTGCTTCCCAGGGAATTAGGAAAAGAGGCAGGACTCGATCGTGTGCTTCCCAGGGAATTAGGAAAAGAGGCAGGACTCGATCGTGGGTCCTCTACTACGGGATGAGTGTGTCCCAGCAATGGTGGAACTGCAGGCCAAACCCCTTGACTGATTCTTGAAAGTTACACTGCCTTGCATTACTGAGATAAACCCCGTTCGGCCGTGACATCTTGCACTGTTTGTTTGTCAGATGCAGCGCGCTGACCGTCTGGGCCGTCCTGGAGGGATCCGCCGCGCCTTCCCTGCAGGGCGTTTCCTGGTTTCGGTTCAGGGAGTGGAGGGGGAGGTTTCCGCCCTCCCTGTTATCTAGGAGCGGTTTGTCAGACTGCTGGATGTTTGCTGGAATTCAGCACTGAAACCAGGCAGCCTCATTCCTCAGGAGAACGTCTTTGCTTGCCACAAATTACGTGGTATTGCTGTGAGACTGTTCAAACGACGCTTCTCCTGGAGTGAGGCTAATAGTTTGTGTTTTTTAAGGAATTGTCCTTTTATCTAGGAAACTTATTGGCATAAAGTTATTCGTAATATGTCCCCGTTATCCTTTCAATGTGTGTGGGCTCCGTGGTACCTTCGCTCATTCCTAACAGTGGTAACTTTGCTCGTCTTATTCCCTGATAGATCTGGCTAGAGGTTGATCAGATGTATTGATTTATTTTCTTTGAAGTGTGTGTTTTAGACAATTCTTGGAGAGTACGATTGAACTGGAAATGGTCTCTAAGACATTACAGGTGTGTGGTGTGTCCTCTCACTACTTTGCCCTCAGTAGCAACAGGGGTGGGGAGAAAGACGATTCTGATGGGAGAAGGCATTAATGCAGGGAGACTGCACCATGCTCCAACGCACAGTGTGTCTGCGCTCTGTGCCTGCACCTGCCCTGACACACAGTGTGTCTGCGCTCTGTGCCTGCACCTGCCGTGACACACAGTGTGTCTGCTCCCCATGCCTGCACCTGCCCTGACACACAGCGTGTCTGCGCTCCGTGCCTGCACCTGCCCTGACACACAGTGTGTCTGCTCCCCATGCCTGCACCTGCCCTGACACACAGTGTGTCTGCTTCCCATGCTTGCATCTGCCCTGACACAGTGTGTCTGCACCCCTTGTCAATCACCTGCCCTGACACACAGTGTGTCTGCTCCCCATGCCTGCACCTGCCCTGACACACAGTGTGTCTGCGCTCTGTGCCTGCACCTGCCCTGACACACAGTGTGTCTGTGCTCTGTGCCTGCACCTGCCGTGACACACAGTGTGTCTGCTCCCCATGCCTGCACCTGCCCTGACACACAGTGTGTCTGCTCCCCGTACCTGCACCTGCCCTGACACACAGTGTGTCTGCTCCTTATGCCTCTCACCTGCCCTGACACACAGTGTGTCTGCTCCTTATGCCTCTCACCTGCCCTGACACACAGTGTGTCTGCGCTCTGTGCCTCTCACCTGCCCTGACACACAGTGTGTCTGCGCTCTGTGCCTGCACCTGCCCTGATACACAGTGTGTCTGCTCCCCATACCTGCACCTGCCCTGACACACAGTGTGTCTGCTTCCCATGCCTGCATCTGCCCTGACACACAGTGTGTCTGCTCCCCATGCCTGCACCTGCCCTGACACACAGTGTGTCTGCTCCCCATACCTGCACCTGCCCTGACACACAGTGTGTCTGCTCCCCGTGCCTGCACCTGCCCTGACACACAGTGTGTCTGCTCCCCGTGCCTGCACCTGCCCTGACACACAGTGTGTCTGCACCCCTTGTCCATCACCTGCCCTGACACACAGTGTGTCTGCTCCCCATACCTGCACCTGCCCTGACACACAGTGTGTCTGCGCTCCGTGCCTGCACTTACCCTGACACACAGTGTGTCTGGCTTTTAGTTATTTTTCCTGGGTACTTTCTGTGGCCTTGCAAAGTGGCTGGGAGAGAAATACACTGGAAATTATAAGATACATTTGAACCAAGTCAAAGAAGACCTAAATAAATAGAAAAAAGTCTCATGTTCATTGATTCAAAGATCCGATTTTTTTAATAGTTTCTAATTTTTTGTAGAGATTACATTGAATTATGGATTCATTGCAACACCTATGAAAATCCCAGCTAGAATCTTAGCAGAAATTGAGAAGGTGGGGCCGGCGCCGTGGCTCACTTGGCTAATCCTCCGCCTGCGGCGCCGGCACCCCGGGTTCTAGTCCTGGTTGGGGCGCTGGGTACTAGTTCTGGTTGTTCCTCTTCCAGTCCAGCTCTCTGCTGTGGCATGGGAAGGCAGTGGAGGATGGCCCAAGTGCTTGGGTCCCTGCTCCCGCATGGGAGACCAGGAGAAGCACCTGGCTCCTGGCTTTGGATCGGCACAGCGCTGGCTGTAGCGGCCATTGGCGGGGTGAACCAATGGAAGGAAGATCTTTCTGTCTCTCTCTCACTGTCTATAACTCTCTGTGTGTCTCTCTCTCACTGTCTATCTCTGCCTGGTCAAAAAAAAAAAAAATTGAGAAGGTGAATCTTGAATTCATACGGAAATATGGGGACCCAGAATAGGTCAAGCAGAGAACAAATAGGTCAAGAAAAGAACAAAATGAGAAGACCCAGCCCTGTTTCAAATCTACCGTGAAGCAAACAGCACTCCAGCAACCCAGATGTGGCACTGTTGCAAGGAGACACACAGGTCGGTGGAACAGAGCTGAGTGCAGAAACAGTGCCAAGTAATTCGGTTGCAAAAGAAGTCTTCGACCAGTGGTGCTGGGACAAGGGGATACCCACATAAAATGATGTTGGGGCTGGTGTTGTGGGGCAGTGGGTTAAAGCCCCAGCCTGCAGTGCTGGCATCCCATTTAGGGCACCGAAGTCTTTGCTGCTCCCCTTCTGAGCCAGCTCTCTGCTATGGCCTGGGAAAGCAGTGGAAGATGGCCCAAGTCCTTGGGCCCCTGCAGCCACGTGGGAGACCAGGAAGAAGCTCCTGGCTCCTGGCTTGGGATCGGCCCAGCTCCAGCCGTTGTTTGGGGAATGAACCAGCAGATGGAAGACCTCTCTCTTTCTCTGTTTCTCCCTCTCTCTGTAACTGTCTTTCAAAAAATAAAATAAATCTTAAAAAAAAGAGAGATGACATTGGGTCCCTTTCTTTACACCACAGACAAAAATGAGCTCCAAATGGGTCAAAGACCTGAGATCTGAAAAGGCTGAAACCACAGAACATGGACAAAAATACGGGGCTCGGGGCTGGCAACGTGGCGCAGTAGGCGGCGCTGGCATCCCATATGGGCGCCGGTTCTAGTCTCGGCTGCTCCTCTTCCAGTCCAGCTCTCTGCTGTGGCCTGGGAAAGCAGTAGAAGATGGCCCAAGTCCTTGGGCCCCTGCACCCGCGTGGGAGACCAGGAAGAAGCTCCTGGCTCCTGGCTTTGGATTGGCGCAGCTCTGGCCGTTGTGGCCATTTAGGGGGGTAAATCAGCGGATGGAAGACCTCTCTCTGTCTCTCTGTCTGTTTCTCTCTCTCTCTGCCTCTCCTCTCTGTGTAACTTTGACTTTCAAATAAATAAAAAGGGTGAGTGTTGCAGTGTGCGGATTCAGTTCTAAGAAAGATGTTTTCAGTGACTGGGTGTTGAACAAGACACAGACACAAGGTGTCTCAGCAAGAACATTTACTTCTGCAGAAGGGTGCGTGGCCGGCTGTCAACAGAGGAGCAGGTGCCACGGGCGGCCTCCTGGTCTATCTGAGGGGCGGTGTGGGTGTGGCGGGAGGTCCTGGCCTTTTGCCCCATTGGCTCAGGCTTGCCTTCCACTTCGCGGCTGTCTAAGCAGAATGAGTGGAGATTTCTGATGGCTGACTTGACGTGGCAGAGCTCACAGAAGAAACCAGGGGCAGCAATGGGCAGCAGCTGTTTGTGGCGTTGGGACGGGGCAGCAGATCTCAGAATCCTGTAACTCACTTAAAAGTGGAACTTCTTGCAAGACAAGGAAGCTACCATCGAAAACGGAGTCACTTTGGTTTGACAGAAAAGACTTACTTCTCCCACGTGGGAAAGCAGCGTGCCCCCTAGCCTCAGCTCCTCCATCTGCAGGAGGGCCCAGGGCTCCTCCCGCAGGGTCGGTGTGCGAGGGAACCAGGGGAGGCACAGGCGCCGGGGCTCTGAGGGGCCGGGCCTTGGAGGGCTCCCAGCTGTGCCAGGGACTGAAGGACGGCACAGGTCCTTCTCTGCCCACAGGGCCGTGCGCCCTGCTGTGGGGACGGACGCAGACTGCCTGGGCAGCAGCGCTCTCCTCCCTGGCTGGGCAGGGGCGTGCTCGGGGGAGTCTGACCTCAGAGGGAGCGGGTCCTCCAGCAGCTGCCCTGGCTGCCTGTCTTCTGGTCTGCATTCCCCGTGTTCGGGGACACGTGTGTCCTGCCCCTCTCTCTGCCCAAGCACCCTGCTGGTGGGCTCGCCGGCCTCGGGAAGTGCCCGTGTTCACACACACAACTCTTCCTGCTCCCCTGGGGCACGGCTGCCCTGGTCCCTGTGGACACAGACCCCAGGGTCCTGGCACCTGCTGAACCAACATGTGCCCGGGGGCAAACAGCTTTCTGGAGGATGGGGCTGCAGTCAGTGAGCGGCTGTGCAAGGCCACGGGAGGAGGGAGTCCCGGAGCCTGGCCCCTCACCCCCCATGCCCGCGAAGGGGCTGGGGGACCAGGACATGGCGGGTTGTCCTGAGTGTGGGGTGTAGAGCTGCCTGGGTGGGCGCAGACATGTGGCGATGGCAGGGCCTGGGCCCTACTGTGCTGCCGGTCAGGTCCGAGGGGCTCAGAGTCCGTGGTGGGCAGGACGAGCATCCCTCTGTAGGGATGGAAGAGCAGACCCGACAGTGGGGGCGGGGGGGAGGTGTCGGGGAGGCGCCTCGTGCCCCTCCAAGCTCAGGAGTGGGGGGAGGGGAGGGACCGGTCTGTCCTCCCCAAGGCGGTCTTGGTCACGTGCGGGTCTAAATTCAGATCATCTCAAGTTTAAAGGCGCAGCTGCGGGCGGGGATGCGGTAGCCGGTTTCGGGGAGGTGGGGAGGGAGGCCCTGGGGCACCCCCGCCCGCCCCGCAGCCCTTCTCACCTTAAGGACGGGAGGCCCTGCCCCGGCGGCTGGGGCGGCGGGAGCGGGGGTCGGGGGGCGAGCGGTTTCCGACGCGGTCCGCGCCCTCCCCGCAGAGATCCAGAGCTTCGCGGGCGCCGAGAAGGACGGCCGCATCGTCGGGGAGATCGCCTTCCAGCTGGACCGGCGCATCCTGGCCTACGTGTTCCCGGGCGTGACGCGGCTGTACGGCTTCACGGTCTCCAACATCCCCGAGAAGATCAAGCAGGTGCGCGCGGGGGCGGGCCGGGGGCGGGGCCTTGGGACGCGCGCGCCCCGCCCCGGCCGCGCCCACGCCCGCGTGTCCCGCAGACCTCGGTCAAGTCTCTGGACGGCTCGGTGGACCAGAAGAAGCTGCGCGAGCTGACGCAGCGCTACCTGACGCTCACGGCGCGGCTGGAGCGGCTGGGCTACAACCGCGACGTGCACCCGGTGTTCAGCGAGTTCCTCATCAACACCTACGGCATCCTGAAGCAGCGGCCCGACCTGCGCGCCAACCCGCTGCACAGCAGCCCGGCCGCGCTGCGCAAGCTGCTCATCGACGTGGTGCCGCCCAAGTTCCTGGGCGACTCGCTGCTGCTGCTCAACTGCCTGTGCGAGCTGTCCAAGGCCGACAGCAAGCCGCTCTTCGCCTGGTGAGCGCCGCCGCCGCCGCCCGCACCGCGCTCGCGCCCCACGGGGCCGCCGCCGCCCGCGCCCCGCGCGCCCGCGCGCCCAGGGCCCGCGCCGCCGCGCCCGCACGCCCGGCCGCCGGGCCGCGGGGAGCCGCCCTCGCGCCGGGGCCGGCGGCCGCCGCCCGCGCGTGCGCCCGCGCGCGTTATTAAAGCCACCTGTTTACCTGTCCGCCGCCGTGCCTGCTGGGTCTTTGCGGGCGGGCGGGCGGGCACAGGGCGGAACCACGCAGCCCGGGCTCCAACGGCGGGGTTCCCGACCGCCGCGGCGCCTCTCTCCCCCGGGAGAAGTCGGGGACGCAGCCCCAGGACCCCAGCCCCTGCCCAGTCCCCTCCAGGCGGGGAGCGGCGCTCCTCCCCTGTGGGCGCAGCCGGCAGCTCCGGGCCTGCTCCCCGCCCCTCCGCCCGCGAGCGGTCCTCTGCGCACCGGGCGGAGCCGGCCTCCTCGTGCCCAGAGCCAGCCCTGGGAGCTGCGGGGGCACCTCGCGCTGGGCCGGAGCTGCATTCAGCGGGTGCAGGTGGGGCCGCAGGGGAGGCTCCGGCGTGGCGGGGCTGCTGACCGCACCCGTGGGCGCTTAGGCAGGGCGAGGCTGCGTGGCACCGGGAGCCCGGCTGGGAGCTGCTGGGTGTTCTGGGGACCCAGGGAGGCAAGGGCCTGGTCAGACGCGCTGGCGTTTGCTTCGGGCAGGTGCGGGGTGGGGGTGGCAGACGCGACGGCACCTGCCACACCTGCGCGGGAAGACGGTGCGGTGGTGCGGGATGTGGGAGGCTCGCGCCCTGCCCTGCCACCCGGGGCCGCCAGGGGGAGCGCCAGGCACTCTGGGGCCGAGAGGAAGCCTGGGCCGCAGGCCTCGTGGTCTGGGTCCGGGACAGAGTTGAGGCCCCGGTGGTCTGGTTTCCAGCTCTGGGCGGTTTTGTTGGAGCATTACCCGGCCCTGTGGCAGATCAGGGCAGGGGAGCTCAGGCCAGGCAGGTGATGGTCAGTGGCTGGGCACGTGTGTCTGGACTGGCCGGCTTGCAGCTGCCCGTGGCAACTACCTAGGCCTGGGCATCCTCTCTCCAGCTGCTGAAGCCCCCAAAGTGTCAAAGAAGCGCGAACAACAGAAAATCAGGAACACGGCTCCTACAGGGGCTTCGAAGAGTGAGGCCCTGGCCTCTGGTCATTCCCTCCCCTCCCCCTCCCCCATGGCCTTGGTGTCCCCCAGGCTCTTGGGCTTGGCTTCGAGTGACCCCTGGAGGCTCTGGGTGAAGTGATGCCCACCGTCCCACCCTCTGATGTCCGCTGTGCTGGGGCCGGGCTGGGGGGTCTCTGGGCTGCACTTCCACGTGGGACTTCCTGGGGACTGTCCTGTGCAGAGCGCTGAGCCCATTCCTAATGCCCTTCTCGTTCTACAAGATGAGAGGGGGTGGGAAGGTGGTGGGGGAGGGAGTGGGGGACTCAGGCAGGGCCCGGGGGGTGACGCTTCATGGCCAGGTCCCCCGCGCAGCACTGGGCCCTGCAGGTGGGTACAAGCTGGGCCTGTGCTGCACCTGCCCCAAGGCCGCGTGTCTCTGTGGATTACTCAGGGTTCTGTGATGTCTGCTCCACAGCGTGTGTGTGTGGGCTCACGGCTGTCTGTGTTTGATCCAGTTCTACCTCTTTGCTTTCCTTGCTCAAATCGTTCCTGGCCCCTTCCATCTACATTTGTTTGTCCATCATTTGTCAGTCATCCATCATCTGTCTGTCGTCTGTTTATTTGAGAGAGCTCGGTCTCCCATCCCCAACATGCTGCAACAGCCAGCGCTGGGCTGAGCCGGGAGTCAGCAGCTCATTCCAGGTCTCCCACGTGAGGGTGCCCAGGACCCGGTCCCTTGGCCATCACTGCTGCCTCTCAGGGAGGCAGGAATTCGGAATTGGGCACGGAGCTGGGCATCAAACCCAGACACACTAACGTGGGATTCTCCTAACCAGCGTTGTCCCTGCTGGGCTGGACGCAGCTCTGTATGCATGACTGTGGGTTTGGGTTCTTTGCAAACACTTTGCGCCTTGGTAGCACCACCAGGTGCCCTGGGCTCCCAGTGTCTTTCCTGGCCTGTCCTGGATCAGCTCTGGTTCCCGTTGGTGGGGAGTTTAACACAAACCCAGAGCCAGGGACCCGGCAAGACCTGTTTTGGTTCGTTCTGCGTTTTTAACAACATAGTACTCCTCGCCACAGGGATGCTACTTAATGTGAAGGCTCTGGGGTGCTTTCTCCACACTCTAACTCTTTCTTCATTTAATACAAGGAGGGAGGCCTAGACAGCTCACGGAGGAGGCACACTGTCTTTTCCATCTTCCCGTGATCTTGGTAATGCCCCTCATTCAGAAACACTGACTACCTTTTTCTAACGTTTCAGTGTTGGTCTACTTGATATCTAAAGCTTGATGTGGGAGACAACGGAAATCTAATCTAAGCATGGAGAAAAGGCCGCTCAGCGGTTCAGGGAGCGGAGGAGAGGGAGCGGCCTCCTGGTCTGGACAGGACCGTCCTGTGTGCTTGCTGCCGTGGGACGTGACTGTGGCCGGCCCGGCCGTCGTCCGCCTGCGGCTCCTTCCCACCCGCAGACACAAGCCGTAGGCTGGGGTTTCGGCGCCCTGCTTGTTACAAGGCAGATTTAACGAGCGATGCAGCTTGCTCAGTGTGCTGCGGCCTGGATTGCTATTCCCTGGGGAATTCACACGCTGCTGCAGGCCTGGTGCAGCCTCGGTAGCACAGGGTTTCCAGCGAGGGTGGGTGCGGCAGGCTGCCAAGCCCTGTCTGTCCATCTGTCCTGGAGTGTGCACCCTGGGCACCACAAAAGGCCAAAGTGCCCGTGGTGCTGAGGCCACGGCAGCAGGATGGCGGCGGCGCCTCTGGCTTCTGCCCCAACAGCACACCAGGGAATGAGGACGGAGAGCAGCCGTGGGGAAGTCTCCAGAGAAGCGGAATAGTCGAGGCTGTAATTCCGACTGCCCGTCCTGAAGAGGAAGTCAGGCCGTGACCAGAGACAGGAGAGACGAGACCCTGCGGAGGGCAGGTGTGCCCATCCCTGCTCGCTGTAACCCCACGGGTGTAGACACGTCTGGGCAGGTGTCCTGGTCTCCGTTCTCTGCACACACACCCCCACATTCCCTGTGTGGTCTCAAGTTCCTCGTGGGTGGTCCTGAGTCCCCCAGGCTGCAGGAAGCCCACCCACGCTGCAGCTGTCAGTGTGTGGTGCTGACAAACCCGTGGGTCTTGTACACAGCCTGGATCGGATGCCCGGTCTTGGGAAGTGACTCCACTGGGCCCGTCGACGTTAATAAACTGCATCTGCTGCTCCTGTACCCAGCCTCTGGTACCTGTTTGACCTAAGAGAGTTTCTCCCGTCCAGCTTTCTGTAACAGTCCCAGAGTTTGGCCCTGGGTGCAGGGCTCCTGTCTCTGTCCGCTGTGGCTATGAGCATGAAGGAGTTGGGGTTCTGAGTGGACCCCCATGTGGGGCACCCCATGCTGGTCCTCACAGCCCAGGTGTCTGGCTGTCCCAGCCCCTGGGGATCCTGCGTGAGTCAGCTTGGGCTGCCGTGACACTGCCGTGGACTGGTCTCAGGGTCCTGGGGGCTGCAGTCCAGGGCCACGTGTGGACGGCGCTGCTTTCCTGAGGCCTCTCTGCTGGCCTGCAGACAGAGCTGCTCCCGTGCCCTTCCGGGACAGCAGTCCGCTTGGCTCGGGACCCACACAGTGGTCTCATTTGAATGCAGTCCCCTGTGTAAAGACTGCTGCCGCCAAATACAGCTCCACCCGAGGAGCTGGAGGTCAGGCCCTCCGTGCGTGGACGTGGGGACACCAGCCAGCCCACAGCAGACCCCCTTCCTCTCCCGGCCCAGCCTCTGGGGTGTCGGGATCACTGGGTGCCTCCCTTCTCCCAGTGCCCTGAGTGGCCGCAGCAGAGGAGGGGTCCCTAAGGCCCACACAGCTGAGTTGGAGAGATCTGAGCTGTGGGGTGCTGGCTCTAGGGAGGGGCCTGCCAGGGGTTCAGAACACCCCAAAGGGCAGCACAGAGTTGGACTCCAGGACTGGGGTATGTACATGCAGCCGGGACAGCCACATGATCTGAGGGCCCCGTGCTGGAGGCAGACCCCTGCCCCTTTAAAATCATGGCTTCCAAGTGGGACATGGTGGAGCCTTGAGCCAGAGTTGACTCCTGATCATAGCTGGGCTCCCACCTCCCTGGGGAGTAGTGGGCCTTCTCTTACTTGTCTGCCCCCTGGAGACTGCACATACATGCTCACACCAGCACACACACATGCGCCCTGCATCTACACACATGATCACACCAACACACGCACATGCACCCTGCATCTACACACATAATCACACCAACACACGCACATGCACCCTTGTGTCTACACACAAGATCACACCCACACACACACATGCACCCTGCATCTACACACATGATCACACCAACACATGCACATGCACCCTTGTATCTATACACATGATCACACCAACACACACACATGCACCCTTGTGTCTATACACATGATCACACCAACACACACACATGCACCCTTATGTCTATACACATGATCACACCAACACACACACATGCACCCTTGTATCTATACACATGATCACACCAACACACACACATGCACCCTTATGTCTATACACATGATCACACCAACACACACACATGCACCCTTGTATCTATACACATGATCACACCAACACACACACATGCACCCTTATGTCTATACACGTGATCACACCAACACGCACACATGCACCCTGGCATCTACACACATGCTCACGCCAACACAAACATGCGTGCACACACTGACATCTACACATATGCTCACCTCAATATACATTCATCCTGACATCTACATGCATGCTCATACAATACTCACACATGAATGGTCACACCAGTATACATACTCTCTCTGGCATCTACACACATGCTCACACTACAGCACATAACCACAGCCCGACATATACATGCATGTCTTGACTACTACACACATACACACATACATGTACCCTGATGTCTACGCACATG